TCACACCATACCAACATGGCTTTAGGAAATATAGATCATGTGAAACACAACTAAAAGGACTAATTGATGATTTTTCTAAAGGTTTAGATAATAGTGAACAAATAGATGCTATCTTACTAGATTTTTCTAAGGCTTTTGACAAAGTTCACCACCATAGTTTGCTTAAAAAATTAAAATATTTTGGCATTAATGGTCCACTGCATCAGTGGATTAAAGATTTTCTGATAGGGAGAGAACAAACTGTAATAATAAATGGCTCTAAATCAACACCGATAACAGTAAACTCAGGTGTACCTCAAGGAACAGTCTTGGGTCCACTACTATTTTTAATTTACATAAATGATTTACCAAATTGCATTAGTTCAGGAACAAAAGTCAGATTATTTGCAGACGATTGCATAATATATAGAACAATAAAAACAACACAAGACACAGATATTTTACAAAGAGAATTAGATGAATTACAGAAATGGGAATCAAATTGGAGCATGTCTTTCCACCCAGAAAAATGTCAGTTGTTAAGAGTAACAAAAAAACTAAAACAAATTAATTCCACTTATCTTATTTATGGCAAACCAGTAACACAGACTAAAAACGCAAAATACCTAGGTGTTATAATAAATGAAAAACTGTCATGGAATCCACATATTGATGAAACTATAAAAAAAAATCAAACAAAGCATTAGGATTTATTAAAAGAAATTTCTATAAATCAAATAAGAACATAAAACTAAAATGTTATTTAACCTTGGTTAGGCCAATAATAGAATATGCATCCTCCGTTAGGGACCCCTCAACTCAAGAAAACATTAAGAAACTGGAACAGACACAAAATAGAGCAGTGAGATTCATAACAAACGAATATTCACATTTGACTAGGGTAACACCTTTAGTAAAATCACTAAATTTAGAAAGCCTTCAGGACAGAAGACTCAAAAGTAAAGTAGCAATTATACATAAAACACTGAACCATAATCTTCAAATACAAAAACAGAATTTAATAAAATACTCTGAAAGACACAAAGACAAACGCACATTCCTCGTCCCATATGCTAGGACAAATTTGTACAAATACTCCTTCTTCCCTAGTGCTATTAGAGCATGGAATGGGTTGCCTGAGCTAGCCAGGAAAACCAGTGACTTGGCAGAGTTTAAGTCATTGGTTAATATGCATGACTAAATGCATGACGCATAGGACATAATCATCTTCTTTTTTGAAGTAATGTCTGTATTATATAAGATAAGATAAGAGAAGGCCTTTTTAAGTCAAAATAGAGCACTGCATAGTCACAACAACCTGCAGCATATTCACCATAGTATGTGTAGCATACAACATCATTGAAATGAACCCATTATCAAATGATTTGGAAATTACTTGAGCATTTAGCTTTCATTTCATTTATTCCACTCACCAATATCATAACTTCAATGATAATTTTACTATTCTAAATTTTTTTTTTTTTAAATAGGTGATGGGCCTACCCCTTCTGGCAGTAGGATTTTGCCACAAAGACCTGCCTATTATGATGAATTTGAACTTGATGATTATGATAGGTGTATTGATTGGATCAAGATTTCTAGCCTCTGGCATGAGACAAATGGCCGTACAGTCCTGCTCTGGATTTGCCATGCTAACCATAATACTGATCTGTCTGAGGTCTTGGAACATTTATGGTCTTCTAGCTACTGCTCTCTATGTCATCTCTGGAAAAGTAGTTGGCTCAGAGGGGAAAATGGGACCATTTTATAGAGTGGACATCTTGCATGTTGGCTTGGCCATAGCAAATTACCTATTTACACTTGCCATGTGTGAATAAAAAAAAAAATACAGTATCTATTGATTGGTGCTTCTATTGTAAGTAGCTTATAAGTTACTAAGGTGCTTGTCTACTCATTGAATCAAAAGATAGTTGTTTTCACGCAAGTTGTAGCATTTTGTAATATGAGCACTCATATCAAGCTATCTTTTAACAATGTTGATTATAATTTCAAAACTTATTTATAGACATTTTTTTTTATCAGATGAAAAATTGCAGTTTTATAATGTAATATATAATGTATGCTTTACAATCTTTTACAAGTGTATGCTTGTAGTGTGAGAGCTCTTGTAAAGTAGAGTTTTATATTTGGTTTTATATTAAATGTAGCCTTTATCTTGTTTGGCTTTCTATTGGTGTATAAATAATGGATGTTAGTTTGCACTATATTTTGGTTCAAATGCTTTAATTTGATGGCCAGCATGAATGTGACTCAGCAGCATTACTAGTGTTTAAAAATTCAAGGAAATATTGTGTAGTTTCCTTTTTTTTTTTTTTTTTTTTTCTTATGTTTTATCTATCAAAGAAAAAAACTTTGAAAAAAAAAAAAAAAAAAGCAAAACAACAAATCTATACGATTGCGGTTAGCATTTTATAAAATACTAGAAAATGTAATATATTCAGAAGCACTTCCAATCTGCTGCTTGACTTATGTTAAAGAATACTTTCATTTTCAATAATTTATCACTGGGGCAAAATGTCATCTCGTCTATAATGCCAACTCCCAAAAATCTTATTTTCATCCCTAGCTTTTAAATTCTTTACGGTCACACCCATTCTCAACTCTGTAATGATTATTTTCTCAAATCAAAAAATGTATATACAGATACATCCCAAAAAAATTGACTTTAAGCATGGGTTGATTATGTTGCCCTTTTATGAGCACATTTTTAGAGAGGCTTGTTACAGTTTCTTCTTATGCAGGTGAATGTTAATCATGCTGTTTGCTAATGATTGTCATATGATCCAGAATTTGAAGTGCTACAGCACAGGATTTATTAGATATAATTACATTATTGCAAAACAATCATTTCATAGACATTCACTGCTGTCACAGGTTCTGATTTTGTTTTTTCAGTAGGCATATACAATGAACATGTTAGCAAAGCATTTCTTTTCTAGTCATTGAAATGTGTCATATAAAAGCACACCTCAGTTAAAGTTTGATAAAAGTAAACTATTTTTTTTATAAGTTAGATTCATTGTTAGAGAGTTGATGTTACTTTTAGTAACAATGAAACAGACAAGATTATAACCAACTTATTAGAATACAACTTAAAATATGTTGTTCTTGGATTTTCTTTTGAACAAAAGTATAACAAATAAATTGAGCATTCCTATTTCAGTAGCTTTAAGTCAATATTGTGTTGTACTTTCTTTGTTTGAATGAGTTGGTATTAATTTTGTAAACAAATATTAATTACAGTTAGCTATAGTCAATACATTCCTATTTTGGAAAAAATGAACTTCCTTTTAGTAGAAACAATTGGAAAGTATTTGTAAAATATACTCTTTGAGTTGATGTTAAAAATAGCTCCAAAAATCTCTAGAATAAACATCCATATTAAAAGTTATAATAAATAATTAATAAATAGTTGGATATCTGTAGGTTAACAAGAACTTGATATTGTTTCATATTTTTTTTTTTTGCAATTACTTTTTCTTCCTATTGTGATCATACTTAAAAGTGCCAGTAAGTTTAGAGAGTCTCCACTGTATTTGTTTATTATTTGATTACTATTATTGAAATACTTTATGAAGTGAATTCTTTTCTGTAGCCAATTGTATGTTGCGTACAGCACAGATGAGAAGTCTAGTCTTTTATGAACTTCTTTTACTTTTCTCAAAAAGTTACAGCAGATCCTTTGGAGCTGTGTAGTAACAGGGAGGTTCTCTAGATCCTTTTTTTAAAATCTCATTTCTTTCCACTAAACAAATTGAAGACCCTTTGGTTAAAAAAAGGAAAGGTGATAAATTTCGATTATTTATCAGTATGCAATTATCAAAAAAAAAATTTTTAAGGGGTGGGGGGGAAACGAAGTTGATCCAAGGAATACTTCCATGGTTAGTATGATATAAGAGCTTCAGCTAAAAACTTTTTGACCTTGAATTAGCTTTAGTAAATGAGCAAGACTTTGAAAATTGAAAAAGTCAATGGTAATATGAAAACTTATGTTTCTCTGTGATCTCATCTCTCTCTCTCTGTGCACTGCTGATTTTTTGTTTTCCTTTTGTTTTTAGTCTTTTTGTTTGATGAATGTTTTTAGATACAAAGTTTTCCATTCTGTACATATATTGTGGATATCTTTGTTCTTAAGTTAAAAAAAAAGAAATAGCTTGATAAAGTGCTTGCAAATTATCTATGATGTTTCTGCTCTTCCTTTGAACATTTAAGTTGTGACAGCCATAAATAAAATGTTTGGGATCTCGTTCTAGTTTTTTTTTTTGTTTTATCTTTTGTAGCCTTGATGTTAAACCAAAAACCTTGAGAATGGTAGTTTAATAAATATATTTACATTAAAAAAAAATTCTTCTTAATGATAAAACATACTTGTGCAATATATTCTCTATATTTTAGTTATTTATTTTTCAAAACAATATGACAATAAGCTAATCAAATATAACTTTTCTGTTTTGAATATACATTTTTAAATTTTTTTTTCAAACATTTAGATCTTCTAATACTAACCTTTTTTTTTTCTTTGTAAGTGTTTGTGATTTAGATCATGCTCTAGATCTAGCTTTCTATTTTTCAACTTTTAAAGCTCATTAAAACTAATTAAATACAATTTTTTTTTGTGGCTATTTTTGTAACAGTTTAGTAAAACAACAAAGTGTTGTGTTTGTTTAGCATACTATTACAATATACAATCAAACTACACACAATATTTTTGTTAATTAAAAAAAAAATTAAAATGCCAAAGAATTTGCTTTTTTTTTTTTTGCTTTTTACTTATGTTATAGCAATTGCTATCTTTGTCATTACACTAAAGCAGGTCTATATAGAGTAGTTTGGTTATAGTAAAGCTTTTGTATTTGTATTTAAATTTTCTGTAAATATATATACTAGCAGATACCCATGCTGTGCTAGGATTGAAATAGTTTATATATGTTTATTTTGCCCATTACACTTTTTAATTCTTCAATAAAACAAACTGCATTACACCGCTCCCCCCCCCCCCCATTTTTTTTTCTGGCCCCCCCAAATTCTATAAGATCACTTGTCTCTTTCATCCTGAAATCAAACGCCAGCAAGCCCCAAATATAGAGTATTTACAAACACTTCTTAGGCTCTTCAGTTGTTCTCGTCTGCCTTTACTATTTTTTATATTAAAAACTATTTTTTCTGTTTTATAATTCGATAATGAATGTAAACAAATGTAGTCATTATTATTGCTAATTTGTTGGAATAAATATAACAGGAAGACTTTCAAAGTTTTAACACAAACTTGGACACTATTTTATTGCAGGAACATTTCAGATGAACATCCTAAACCAGTCAAAAGGTTAAAATAATGAATTCAAATAGAACAGCTAAACACAAAACTTTCTATTACTTCAATATAAGAACTATATTCATGAAGATGCCCCCATGGAAGTTTGAACACACTTGTTGATAGTAAATAGGTATTTTTAAAATTCTCTGACCCAGAGGATAGATATGAAAAAAATTTGCTGTAACCCTTCCATCTCCTATATATTTAGTAAAAGTAAAACAGTTGTTGCCCTGTTTAAAAAGACTAACTCTGACTTGTAGTCACTAACATTCATCAGTGTTTGCACTAAGTTTCAACAAAACTAAATGACAGGAAGTACAAATGAAACAACCAATTTTTTAAAAAATGCCATTTTCATAGAACAACTTCCCTTAAATTAATTTGTGTACATTATTCACTTTTTTGTGGATTACATTCTAAATTGACTAATTTAATAACATGACATTGGAATAAGAACCTATATTACATGTTGACATTGGAATCAAGGAAGGTGTTAGCTTATGAGACAATGAACATCCATTATTTACAAATCTATCTACAGAGACAAGTCTAGCCAAATAAATAGAGAGAAACTTAATACAAACCTAATGGAATCTTCAGTCAATCTTCTTACAGATCTTCTTAGCTTTTCAATTACATTCTTTCAAAACCAAAAAAAAGGGGGATAATGTTTTAACCACATCAATGTGTTGCAGCAGAGTCAATCCTGTTACTGAGATTTTGACTGTATGAAGTCATTGATTTTCCTGGCTGATTCTGACATGTTCCATGCTTAAATGGCTCTTGGGATGAAGTGGGATATCTAATATGTACTAGTGGACATTAACACAGCTTAGGATATTTCCTTCACAACAGACTGGTTAAAGTACATTTTGTCAAACAATTATTTCATTTACTGGTAGCTAATAGCCATCAAAATGAATAAGGTCTACTTCTTTACCTACTGTAGAAATTAAATTTTGTTGTTAAAACTGAAATAACTCAATATGTGTTTGTTAGTCATCATATGTATACTTATTTCATTTTCAAAACAGCTCTTTCACCAGGTTACTGACAAAAGGATAAAATCTGAATATAAAAGATATGATCAAATAAAGGTAAGGATATGGGTGGAAATTACATGTGACTTGTTCATTCATTAAACTATCATAGCAGTATGTGACTTTTTTTTATACAAATTGTTTTTTTTCATGCAAAAAAAAACTACAAGAGTTTTCCAAACAATTTCAAAATTTTAAATTACATACACTAGAATGTTCAAACAATATACAAGCAAAAATTATATCACATGTAGGTGGAGAGATTCTTTGTACTCATAAACTGAAAATCTAAAACACAAAAAGCCAGATTTTGTTAGGAAATAAAACAAAGCAGATCATTGTCCACTGTCTTAATACTAACCAAATGGAAACAGATGGCCCTGTAAGAGACGGATGTTCTTAAGAACATAAACTTTGTATCTCTGTCCAATGCAATGCATTAATTGCAAAAAAGTAAAGCCTGGTCAGCATAAACAATTGACCCATTCCCAAAGCTCCACTACTGATAGAAACTTATTAACATACATTTGAAATGAACATAATTGGGATTGGTAAAGTGATAATAACATAATGATAGAAGGATGCAGTTGTAGGTGGCAGAATTAATTTAAAAAAAAAAATTACGGAGTTTACATCTGGAGATACTCAGGATACAAAGCAAGAATAAAAGCAAACAGTAATTTTATACAGATAACCACACAACAGTATGTCATATATGTTGATGCATTGCTTTGGTAGGGTAGGAAAGTAATGATATTCTGATAGCTTTTTACATAAGTAGAAAACACTTCTTGATTAGGAGACAAGAGAGGGGAATGATAATAAGACAAAGTTTGAAATAACATTAAGAGAAAACTAATTGTCACTTGAAAAAAGTAGAATATTTTAAATATATAGAATCAATCATAATTCCATAAATGACCCTAATGCAGTATTTAAAAAAAAAAAAGTTGAAAGAGAGCTGGCATTATATAGCACTTGTCACATTAAGAGAAACCAGTTTCCATTCACATCAAGCAAAGCTATCTCAAGAGAAACCAGTTGCCATTCACATCAAGCAAAGCTATCTCAAGAGAAACCAGTTGCCATTCACATCAAGCAAACCTATCTCAAGAGAAACCAGTTTCCATTCACATCAAGCAAACCTATCTCAAGAGAAATCAGTTGCCTTTCACATCAAGCAAACCTATCTCAAGAGAAACCAGTTTCCATACACATCCAGCAAACCTATCTCAAGAGAAACCAGTTTCCATTCACATCAAGCAAACCTATCTCAAGAGAAACTAGTAGCCATACACATCCAGCAAACCTATCTCAAGAGAAACCAGTTTCCATACACATCAAGCAAACCTATCTCAAGAGAAACCAGTTTCCATTCACATCAAGCAAACCTATCTCAAGAGAAACCAGTTGCCATTCACATCAAGCAAACCTATCTCAAGAGAAACCAGTTTCCATACACATCCAGCAAACCTATCTCAAGAGAAACCAGTTTCCATACACATCAAGCAAACCTATCTCAAGAGAAACCAGTTGCCATTCACATCAAGCAAACCTATCTCAAGAGAAACCAGTTGCCATTCACATCAAGCAAACCTATCTCAAGAGAAACCAGTTGCCATTCACATCAAGCAAACCTATCTCAAGAGAAACCAGTTGCCATTCACATCAAGCAAACCTATCTCAAGAGAAACCAGTTTCCATACACATCCAGCAAACCTATCTCAAGAGAAACCAGTTGCCATTCACATCCAGCAAACCTATCTCAAGAGAAACCAGTTGCCATTCACATCAAGCAAACCTATCTCAAGAGAAACCAGTTTCCATACACATCCAGCAAACCTATCTCAAGAGAAACCAGTTTCCATACACATCCAGCAAACCTATCTCAAGAGAAACCAGTTTCCATACACATCCAGCAAACCTATCTCAAGAGAAACCAGTTTCCATACACATCCAGCAAACCTATCTCAAGAGAAACCAGTTTCCATACACATCCAGCAAAGCTATCTCAAGAGAAACCAGTTTCCATACACATCCAGCAAAGCTATCTCAAGAGAAACCAGTTTCCATACACATCCAGCAAAGCTATCTCAAGAGAAACTAGTTGCCATGTATGCATGTAAGACATGCAGAAAAATTGATGATGACTGACACAAAGAAAATGGTAACATTCACAGTCACACACAAAAAGAGGATCCATTCAGGGAAAGAAATAAAACAGTGAATTCTGTACAAGTCAGCTAAGGTAAAAAAAAAAAAAGTTGACCTAAGTTAATTTACTGGCATAACCCAACAGGCAGACTACAACCAGAATATTTTTTTTAGATAAGACCATTTTTAACACACACTTACACACACATTCAAAATGCTGAGGAAATGGTACTTTTAAAATAATATTAAAAGCTTTGAAACCAATATAAAAAAAGCATTATATTGTAGTACATCTGATTAAAGTCACTCATACAAGTTCTCTTTGAAAAGTCCAGCTGTTAGCAACTCAGTTGCTTGTAAATACAAACATTTATGGGTAGTACACAACTATGGTAACACATAGTTTAGCTTTGATTTTATATTTGAAAAAAAAATAAAAATTCATGAATAATTTAAACAAATACTAAAGAGACTTGAACATCCATAGTCAGATTGGCCCAGTGGCAGAAAGAAAGTGGGGCAGTGTGAGAATGCAGCATGCCCTTCCGTAGACCCTTGTTGGAAACCTGTCAACAATTGTCATGGTGTCTTTAGCAGCATCATACTCCTGAAGCAGGTCTGAGTAGTAGTGCTCACCATTGATTCCACCTACAATGTAAATTTTGTTGTTCAGGGTAGATGCCCCAGCTTCCCTGATGTTGCATGTCGTCTTACAGTTAGACCACTGATCAGTATCTGGGTCGTAGTACTCCATGGCAATAATAGGAACAGGAAATCCATAGCTATCTTCTATGTTGCCTCCAATAACATACAGCTTTTTTTGTACCTCAAAAGAAAAAAAAAAGTCTGAAAAATATACATTAAGATGTATCTAGTGTAAAACAAACAGTTTTTAAAGAGAGTGGTTGCATACTGGCAAAAAAATCATCTTTCAAAGCCTTGAGTTCAATTCTTAGTGAAGGCATGATTTTAATTTCAGGATTTTAGTGCATAATAAGTCTTACCCAGTTAGAGATCTAATTGGTATAAAATTGTTCAGCTCCAAAATGATGGACTTTTGCCTTTATTTTCAAGTAAATCATAAGTAATGAATGTTAGAAAAAGGTAATTAGTTATTCAAATCACACAATTATAAATTGTTCCAAAGCCAAATTATGAATCTAACTTGCACTATCTAATTTTAATAATAATAAAAAAAAGCAATGGAAGATAAAAAGGTACACCATGAACAGAGATGCTGAAATGTAGAGTCACTTTAGATGGGCCAGAAAAAAAAATGCCAACAAAAATTCACCTATAAAGCCAGAATTATGGTGTAAATGTTATTGAATAAAATAAAAAATTATATTTTAATTTCAGATACAAATCTTCAAAGAAGCAATAATTGTAGCCTAACAGTATTTAGAAATACAGAAAGTTGACTTAAAAATCCATCACCTAACAGTTTTAAATTCATACACGAAGAGCTTCATACTTCATAAAAATAACAAGTTATTGAGACTTCCTTTACCTCCATCATGACATGGTTGCATCGACCATTCAGCATAGCAGCTTTCTCTTCCCACACATTAGTGACAGGAGAAAAACAACTCATGTTGCTGGCACACCCTGAGAACCTCTGACCACCTGATATGTAGATTTTATCTGCGCACAGTGCCCCAGCATGGCCATAACAAGAATGGCTGTAAAGATTTAAAAAAAAAAAAAAAAAAGAAGTATGTGATTTAATTTTAAACAATGCTACAGCAAGTCTTTCAAAGTTAGCATTATGCCAAATCAACCCTTCTGATCCTATCAAATACTTTCTCTGCTGAACTGCTGTCTTTTTTTCCAGCGACAGTTCAAGATTGGCAGACATACCAGAAATTCTTAAAGATAGCAAAAAACAACAAAAAAAAAAAAACAGTATAAATAAAGAACTAGTCAGCAGAACACTTTGTTTGGCCCTAAGAAAAATATTAAACTTTCATCATCTTGATAAACGTTGTAAAGCCAACAACAACAAAAATGTTAAGACTTTGTTAGCATTGGGAGTTTTCACAATAAATGTCAAGGGCGCTATATTAAAAGATCATTGCTGGCAACTAAATATTACAAATAAATTAGAGGCTTAGAAATTTAATTCTACGGTTGCTAAAAAAAAAAAAAAAAAAAAAAAAAAAAAAGCAAACAAAAAATTAATTAAAAATCTTTTAAAATACATAGTTTATCAACATTTCTTAAATTCTGTACACTGATGAATCAAATAGCAATGACAATTTCTAACAAGATTTATACCATGACTGCATGTGTGTTAACTCACCTTATAGATGCACACATGTCCCATTCTTCTGTGGCTACAGTGTAACACTCTACTGTACACATCACCATGTTTTCATCCTGGCCACCAACAGCATACAATTTTCCATTGTAAGCAACCACAACAAAATCTTTCCTAGCTTCATTCATGGATGTAAGTTCATACCAGGAATCAAATCTGAAAAGTTCAAATAGTTCTTTCAAAGAAAATTTCTGCTTTTCCTCCCCTTATAAGCTGTTATTATTTTTATAGGAATCTGAATAGAATTCAGTCTTGTTTAAATCTCCATGAAACCACAATAAAAAATAATTCTTTTGGTTCTAATTATTTTGGTTCTAATTATTTTTTTAACAAGTCAGATCTGTCAAACTTTGAATCTGTGATGCTACTAATATTGCTCTTTTTAAATCTCTTTTTCTAACAAAATTATTAAAGCAAAAAATATTCTTGTATAAACCTCTTGATAGTAAGTGAAACCAACTTGCTTTTTATTAACTTCTTAAAAAGGGTTTAGTAAAGGAGCAATTGTTTCACTATCTACATGGAAATTAGAGACTAACCTGGGGTCATATCTAAAGCAGCGTGCAGTTGCAATCTCATTGTTTTCTGTGCTGTCATATTTTCCACCACAGGCATACATGAAATTGTCTAAAACTGCAACACTGGGGTTAAACAGCGGAATGGGAGAGTCCCGTAAAAACCCATGGTGCTTGTTGTGAAAAGTGTAGCATTCCAGGTTCTGGGAGTGTGACATAACAATGCTCAGATGGTTGGACCGAACCTGGGTGCGGGGTGTCTGAAGCATAGGCTGTTTGCCAGTCACTATGTGATAGTCCTTGGCTTCTGTAAGTAGATCACTGCATTCAATGTTTGTGCGCATCATTTCAACCTTGCTGACCTGGACATCAAAGAGAAGAAAAATTATTGACTGTAAACTTAGGCTACTACCAAAGTAGAATTCCTTTAAACTCAGTAAAATCATTTCTGAAAAAAATGAAAATCTCTTACTTTCTCTACCAGCTCTTCCCCAGCCAGTAGTGGCAGCCGGATGTTCTTCATAAGCTTTGGCAGATGCTTCAGCCTTTCTGCTTTGTTGTGATCTATCCACAGCAGAACTTTGGTGAACAGCTGATACTCTGAGGGCACCTTCAAGCTGTTATCTTTCAACATTGTGGCTAACTGTTTGTGAGTCAACTTGGTAAACTGTTCAGAGGAGCTCACTACCTGTAATGTTATTGCAATGTCCAAAAAATGAGAACCTATCAACTTATTTAGATAATACTGTTTAAAAGAATGAGATATACATTCTGAAAGACACAAAAATTATTCTTCAAAAATGTCAGGAGTAATAATAATTTATAAGGTACTGTTAACAAAGATTGTCTGAGAGGTAATATGGTTTTCAAAGTGTAGCTCAAATTGTAACATGTAGCACCTAGTATGTTATACAAAATAAAATAAAATGTATGTTTACTTAATTTATTTTTAATGACTAGCATTAAAGTACCAGAACATATCAACTATACTTCTAAGTCTACAAATTGTTCTTTTAGATAAGTTTGACAAGCTCCTGTGTGGCTTTAAATTCTGTTGCAATCTTTTGGTCTTTTTAAAAGGCTTGGTGCTACTAGCAAGGGAGAA